TGTAAACATCGCCCTGAAACGTACGAAAGGCGAATCTAGACTTCAGAGCCCCGGATCGGCTGGCACACATTTCTCTCAACACTCTTCCCGCCGCCTGAAATTCCAGAGGGACGGAGGGGCCCCCGCGGCCCACGGCAGCAAGCACGACCTTCCTCTGTGACCCATAAGGGGAAAAAAAATCTATTACTCCTTAAAAAAAAAAAATCGGCCTTTTTCCTCGGTCCATCCCAGGCACACAGACTCCCACCACGACTCCCAGTCTCGGCCGCCGGGGAGAGCCGAGGGCGGTGGGCTCACGTCCCCGCTCAGGAAGCCCCGCAGCCGCCGGTTAAGTGGTGGGCCCGCCACCTGCTGCTCCGGCCAGCCACCCACGCCGTGTCTGGGCTGCCCCGAGAGGCACGGCTCCTGGGTCCTGACTCCAGCCACGAGTTTCCCTCTAACATTTCACGGGATGACTGTATGGAATTTTGCTTGTGACCTTCCCTCCCCCGCCCAAAAATAAACACATGAAGGTGAATAAAATTCGTGTTTTGGGGGGATCTTCCGCCCCGTGCCACGAGGCTTCAGGGTTTTCCATTACAAGCCCCAAGTGGGTTGGTGGCTGCCTGAGTCCCTACCACGAGCCTGGGGCCCCGGCCGCCCCGGCTGCCCCTCCCAGGGCGTCCTCCCGGCGGCACGAGGGCTGAGGAGTTCACAGGAATCCGGCGGGGCTGCCTCGGCACCATCCCCAGCGGCCGAGCCGGGGAGGGAAGGGGGAGGTGGTGGGGGGCAGGCCTCGGAGGAAAATTCTGTGCATTCTGCTAATGCAGACGGCTTCCGTCCGGCGCGGACTCTGGGCCCGGTCCGTCCGGGACTCCAGACACCACCTCTCCAGCCGGGGAGCGTGGTGGGGGGCCCGTGTGTGCCTTTGCCGAGTCGGGCCAGACTCCCGCAGACCTGCAGGCCGCCCCGAGTCCCTCGGAGAAGGGGATTGGGGGAGGAGTAAGGAATACCAGAGAAGCACAAACGCTGTCCAGTACCTCGCTCTGCGGCTGCTCTCCAGCCCTGGGGGACAGAGCCTTCCTCCTGCAGTGCCTGTTTTCCTCACTTCCATTCCGCGGACCCTCACACTGCCCCCCCCCGCCGCCCCCCCACCCCCTCCAGCAGACAAAGGCAGGCAGGGCCTGGCCAGAGGGAGGAGTCCCCATGCAGTCCCTGACCGGGGGGACCCCCGGCTACCTTTCTGGTGTTCGGGAACGTGTCCCCCCAGCCTTTCCGAGGAAAAGAAACCACAGGAGGAAACAAAATAAACTTGCGAAAGTTTGAACTCCACTCAACAAAGAAAGTCAGGAGTTCCCGCGGAAAGTTGCCCAGGACCGCAGGCCGGGGGACCGTCTTTCTTCTCGTTCTATAAATCTCCGCCCCGGACTGAGCTCTCCAGGCCCGCGGTGGCCAGACGCTTGAGCTCTGCTGTCCTGGCCGACGGGGCGGCCCCGAAAATAAATATTTCATATAAAAGGTCCATTGTCTCCGCCCTGAGACAACTGTTGCTTTTTCTTCCTCCCGGGCCCCAGAACGTCGGAAGGCACGGCCGGCGCCTTTCAGGGCCCCTTCTCGTCCCACGAGACGCTGGGAAGGAGGCCGTCTCCCCGGACCCTCCTCCCCGCACGGGCGTTTCGGCTAGCGCGTGTGCACAGATCGGGCCGAGGGGCAGCAAGCTCACCCCGGAGGTGAGCCCGCCCAGCAAATCGCCACCCGCCTGGCCAGCGAGCACCCAGTGTGGGGCGGGGGGGGGGGTGCTCCTCAAAGAAGGGGCACCTCTTCTGTGAGCACATCCTGCCCCCGCCCCAGGGGACTCGGCCCCATCTCCTGCGCCCAGTGAGTGCCTCCAGGCCAAGTCCCGGGACCAGGGAAGGCCGGGCTCTGCCGGCTCGTGGTCTCCCTTGAAAATATCACCCAGGTTCACCGTCACGGCCGTCTGTGTGTGTGTGTGTGGGGGGGTGCATTTCTAGGTGCCTTTTCTCGTGTCGCCCATACTGGCCTCTGCTTCTCACAGACTCAAAAATATAATGATTGCCGGCAATAAAAACCATGATTACCGCTGACAACAGTAACGATGATGATGGCAGCAGCCATTTACGGCACCCCCGGCACGTGCCCGGGCCTGTGCTTCGTGGAAATAATCTCACCGCACCCCCCCCCCCGCCCCACCGCAAAGGACCCTCTGAGGTTGGGGGTATTTATTATTCCTGTTCTCGAGCTCGAGGCACAGGCCAGGGCCGGGGCGGGGGGTGCCACCCGTCCAGGCTCCTGTGCTGAGCCGGGGGCCAGGCTGGAGCAGCCCGGGTGTGCGCCAGGACACCCCGCTAAACGGGGTCTCTGCGGGAGAATTCCCGCTCTTCCCCCAGACACGCAGGTCTGCCTGCCAAGCCCAACCACAGACAAGCATGGAGGTTTCCAGATGTGTTCCTGCCTGGCCTTGAAGGACTTCCCTACCTTCCAGGGGCACTGTCCCTTGGGGGGGGGCAGGTACACACTAGTGTCTTACGAGATGCTTCCCTGGACACTGGTGGGTGCCCGCCAGGGTGGGCCAAGCCCTCCGGCCCCTCCCTTGGCCCCCAGAGGCTGCCTTCGAGTCCGACCTGGTCCAGGCTGGGAGGGAACAGCCCCCAGCGCCCTTCAAGAATGGGAGCAAATACGGCAGGTTCCCAGAGTCAGCCGTGGGCAGGCGTGAAGCTCACAAACAGAAAGGAACCCTGCTGCAAAGCTCCCCCCCCACCCCGAGTTCCGCCTGAGCTAAGCAAACGTGGTCTGCTCCTGTTCACGTGGTGTGCCCGAGCCCGGGACACAGTGGAGGCTCCCCGTGTGAGCAGCCAGCCCCCCCCCCAGCACCCGGGATCTGGGGGCCACAGGTGGCCAGGGGCTGAGCACGGCGGGGCCCCGGTGCAGGGAGGGGCCGCCCCGGTTTAAGGCAAAAACGAGAATACCAGGGCCATCTCCCCACCAGCCCGCCCCAGCCCACGAGAGCCTGTCCCCCTGATCGGCACCCACACATGATGAAAGAAGAAGACAAGACAGGCACCAGTTTCGTTTTCAGAACCCCGTCTCTCGTGCACGCGTCACCAAAAACGAAATTCAGCCTGGAGGGGGTGTCCCAACACACAAGAGGGCCCCGGTGGGACTGCAGTCGCCCCCGGAACAGGGCTGGCCCCGAAGAGCAAGGACAAAGGCAGGGCCTGGGCCCGTGAGACAGCCCCTCTGTTTCCTGGAGATTCAACTTCACCACATTCCGCAGGCCAGGGGCACGCTTCAGGGCCGGAGACGGGCCTCGGGGGCCGTGACACATAGCAGCCCCTGCAAAGCGACCTGACGGGCACATCCTGGGGCGCTCAGGCCTGTCCCCGTGCCCGTGGGCCCGTGGGCCCGTGGAGGAGCCACGGGAGCCCCGTGTGTTGCAGTCTGTTTTAATCCCGGGGGGTGCCCCACGGCCGCGGCCGAGGGCTGGGCCGCTCCCACCCAGCAGGCAGTGCGTTGCAGGTCATCTGTGCACCCAGAGAGAAGGGCTCCCACATTTTGCAGGCGAGGCCCCGAGAGCACCGGAGCTTTGCATAATTACCCACCTCGTCACCGCCAACACCACACCGTGCACAGCTCCCAGCTGGAGTGCATGCCTTCGGCAGCTGCACCCCGATTCTGAGATCACCCCCGATCATCCCACCCCCGGTCTCACGTCCGCCAACTGCCTCGGATACATACAGCCAGAAATAAAAATTCAAAACGGGGGGAGTGGGCTATGGGAGGGGGGTAATGGCCCAGCCAAACAGCCGGGCCGGGTGAGCCTGCAGGACCGAGGCAAACTTACAGCCTCCGGGCCCGGGAGAGCCAGACCTTCCTGAAATGCCCTGCGTGCTTGGGGTTCTTCCTGGGGTCCGGGGGGCCAGGCCGCCCGGAAGAGGGCGGCGCGAGGCAGGCCCGGGCTGCTCAGGCCTCTGTCCACGTTCCCGGAAACTCGGCCTCCAGTGCCAGCTCACCACTCCGAGTGCTGTGGACACAGGCCGTCCCTCCCTGGCCACCGTGGTCGGAGTGCCCTGCAAGCCGGTCCGAACCACGCCACCAGAGCCGCAGGGAAATCGTACCTGCGATGTGGCCGTCTTGGAAAGTGGGCTTCACCCCCCCCCCACAGGGGTGGGTTTCATTTTAACAGGGGACGCACACGCAAGCACGAACACGCACATTTTCAAATCCCAAACAGCTAGCACCGAGGGACGAGAACCGAGGGAGGCCGTGCCGTGCTGCGGAGCCGGCCCGGGCTGCGGAAACCCAACTTCGAAGAAATTCACGTCAGCGTTACCTGAAACCCCTGGACCCACGGCAAACGTGCATTCCTTCACCCCCTTCTCGCGCCCCACAAACTGGCCAGAGCCGGGGCCAGGCCTGTGTGTGAGCCACCTATAAAGAGGGGTTTATTACGCAAAGTTATGAGTTGGTTTCGTTTTATGCCACCATAAACAACAGCTTGCACACACAGCCTTTCACACCGCCAGCCCGGCTGCTGCTGGGGCTCGGCCAGGGAGCCCCCACACCGACTCTCCATGAGTGTGGGACCAGCAGAAAAATTAAGAGGCAAAGCTGGTTTAGGAAGCGAATGAAAAAAAATTTTTTCAAGGGACTGTAGCTTCCAAACAACCCTTCCAAACACATGTAACCTTTGCAAGGAGCTTCCTCTTCTCCTTCCATTCCGTTTAAGACGCCTGCTTAGCTACTTTACGTGTTCGGCAAAATTCTCGCTGGCCAATGGCGGGCACACCTGAGCTCAGAAGCCTTATTTCACAAATTCCAAGTTCCAGGATTTTAATGCCGGCCGAGGAGTTCTCGAAAGCTGCTGAGGCTTCGGGTTCAAGAAGCCACCTTGGCGTGCCCCTCGTCTGCAGAAGGCCTGTCCCACACAAGGGCTCTTCTTAGAAATCTCTTCATTAATATTTAAATACCCACTAAGTAGCGAAAGTGAGAAATGCACTTACCGTTCTCAGGAGTCGCCTTGAACCCGACGGTGACCCGTGGCGCGCAGGTCGGCAGCCGTGCCCTTGCGGGAGAACGCGCCCGGACACAGCCCGCGCTGCGCTATGGTGCCCACAGCCCTTGCACAGGCCCTCGGCCCTCGGTCCGAGTCCTGGGCTCCAAACGCTTCCCTTCCTCAGGCGCCCAAACGGCAGAAAGCCAAGCGGTGCCGTCTCCCGAAACTCTTCGCAGGGCAGGTCGGCTCCCTCACCGCGCGGGCGAAGCGCACAGCCAGGCCCCGCTCCCCCAGTCCCGCACCGCGCCGCGGACTGCACTGCTCCTCTTCTCCCGGCTCCGTCTTCCCAATACTGAACCGCCAGACCTCGCCGAAGAGTGGCCCGCGGGACCCAGTCTCCGCGTCGGCGACTAGCGCCGCGAGGGACCTTTGTCCTGGACGAAAACGAAAGCGCGCCGGGCCGGGGGCGCCCACGCCCTGCCGCGGAGGTCCGGGCCAAAACGCCCCGCGACTTTCTCCAAGTTCACGTGCATCCCCGGGCGGGCGGACGCCGTGGGCCCGAACTTGCAGCGCCTGGCCATCGGGCGCGCTGCAGCTTTCGGGCGGGATGGGGGCGACCTGGCGGCGCGGGCCCGAGGCACAATGGGCGCCGCAGGGCTGGCGGGCGGGCGGGCGGGCGCGGGGACAGCGCGGGCCCGGCCTCCGCGCGGCCGATCGTCTGGCGCGGCCCGGGCGCCGAATGCGGCGGTGGCGGCTTGGCACAGACGCGCCTCGCGCCCGGTGCATGCTAATGGCCGGCGGCCGCGCCATGAATTATTCAGCAGCGGCGCGGAGAGAGCGAGCGCGGCGCGGAGGGCGGCACGGCCCGCGCGTCCCCCGCCGCTGCGAAGCCGCCGCGGCGACTTCCCAAACTTTCCCCGGTCGGCACCGAGGATGCGGCCCCCGCGGCGCCTCCGTCCCCGCCCGAGCGCGCCAGCCGCGCTTCCCCCGTTGCCGCCTATTTTATGTCTTTTGTCTCGGAGTTGGCACCTGTCCCAGAGAGCGCGTTTCCCTGCCCACCCCTTCGCCGCCGGATCGGGGCGGGGGAGGGGGTACGGGGGGCCCTGGAGAGGAGGGGACGGTGGGTGGGGGAAGCAAGGCTCCTACGGGCCCCGCAACCCCGGGAGACCGCCTAGGGGCGACGGCCGTGCCCGCGAGCCCGGGCGCCCCTGTTTCTCGCGGAGGTCAGAGCTTCGGCTGTGCCTGGAATACCAACGAGGCCTCCCGGGGCCCCGGCCATGCCCACTGCAGGAGAGGACAGGGCGCGGCCCCTCCCCGACTCCCCCCTCTGCCGCGCACCCTCCTCCCGAGGCCCGCGCGCGCGGGCGGGGCGGGAGGCGCGAGCAGCGGATTCGCCACCCGGGCCCCGCGCCTCGCCCCGCAGCCCCGCGTGCGCGCCCCCGCGAGCACGCTGCCCTGGGCTCTCCCCGCCCGCGCGCCCCCGGCCCGCGACCCCGCCCGCCTGCACGCGCGAGGCAGGGGGTACCGCGTTGCGGGGACCCATCCACGTTTTGTTTCGCGCCCCATAGCCCGGGCACCCAAAGCGGGCGACAAGCGCGAGTCTCAGCCCGGGCCGCCCCCGCTGTCCTGGCACCCAGGCGGCTGCCGGAGCGCGCTCGGCGGCTGCGCTCCGAGGCCCCGGCTGCCATGATTGCGGGCAGCGGGGCGCGCGCGCGCGCACTCCGGAGCCGAGCTTGGGGACCCCGGGCCGGCAGACTGCCCCTGGCCTGACCGCAGCCCCGTGAGCGCCGCGGACAGCAGCCGAAGTCGCCAGGCTCGTCCTTGCTGGGGCTAGTGTGCGCCATGGAGCCCTAGACGAGGCTCCGGCACAGAGCTCGGGGTCGTCGGTGGCGGCGGGTTTCCCCCGGGGCAGGGCGCGTGCCACGGCGACCCTGTGGAGGCTTCCCGGACACCGCGGGCCGGGCGGATCGAGGGGCGAGACGCCCAGTGTGGTAGGGGACGGGGTGCACGGAATCTGGTGAAGTGGAGGAGAGCAGCGTCCTGTACCCAGAGATGGAGGGGGTACGCAAGGTGCCTTGCCGAGGGGGGGGTCCTCACGGCGCCCGAGGAGGTGTGGGATGGGCGGGGGCACCGTGTCCGGAGCCACTGCCCAGCTCCGAGCTCGATCTCTTCCTTCCCCGCAGAAACAACTTCCTGCTCCCCAGGCCCAGGGCGCAGGAGCTGCGGGGAGAAGTTATAGGCCTCAGCTTTGCTCTTTCGGAGCCAGCCGACTACACCGCTGCCCGGGGTCGCGCGGCTCCTTCCCGCGCGCCTTGTGGGGGTCGCGACTGGCCAGGCTCCAGGGTCAGGACAGCGGTTAGAACGCCGGGGAAGCCGCAGGAGATTTTCCTGCCTGCTCTGCAGGGACGCCTGAGTAGCTTCCCCGCAGAGGGGCCGGGCTAGGTTTCCGGTGCTAGGAGACATCGACACAGGGTCACTATGCCTGGACCCGTTCCCCTGCCAGGGCATGCCCTAGCTGAGAGCCAGATGGGCCTGGCTGTTCTCGGACTCTCGCGACGGGTGCCGGAGAGAAACGAGGCCTCCTGGGCCCTTTCCCAATGTCTGTCTGTGCCTGTCTCCCCCCACACCCCCAGCCGGCCTTGGCATTCTAACCAGTGTCCCTTGACGTCACATCTCGCCACTTCTGTGAACCAATTGAAACTTGCCCGTTGTCATAAAAATATATATACTTTTTATGCTATTGGTAAATTCAAAAGTTCCTCGTGTGCCCTGCTTCCCAGGAAACTCCATTCCACATTGGATTGGACCGCCCAGGGAGGGGGGAGAGACTGCAGGGGGCCCGGCTGGGCTGGGGCAGCTGGAGCAGCTCTGCCCGGGGCCTCTGCTGCCCACTGACCACTTCTGAGGCTCCCCAGACCCCCACGACCTTGGCCTTGAATTGTGCGGGACACCCACCCACCCCCACACATCACTGCCCCTAGTCCGAGACACACCCGTGTGGGGGGGGAGGGCAGAGGGGAGGAAGGCAGGCTATATTAAGAAATCTTCTAAAATTGCTTTCCTGGGTGTTAGATGGAGTCTCACTGCAGCTTCTTCTTTCTAGGGATGGCTTCCCTCCCTCCCTAAGAGAAAATTCAGCTTTAGAAAACCGAGTAGAAATGTTTTCTGGTTAATCTTTTCATCGAAATCCTGATCAACTTTCACTTTCCACGGCTGCGGGCAGCCAGCAGAGACGGGGCGATTTCACAGGGGGCTGGGCTTCCCTCCTCTCCACGAAGGTCCAGGGAGGTCCCTTCGGCCTCAGGGGCCAGGGGTCTGGAGCCCAGGCGTTCGGGGCCCCTTCCCCAGAAAGGGACGGCCCTCGGCAGCCTGAGACTCGGCACGCCGCCCTCGGGCCTCAGCAGCACGGCCGGGACAAACAGCCTCTTGTCTGGCCCAGTCCTGTAGAATTTTCTGCGGGATCCCAGTCCCCCGCTCCGTGAGGACGCATGGAGCAGGAACACACGTTCCCGTGAGACAAGGATGTTGGCTGGGGCAGTCCCAAAGCCACTTGTCCCTCGGTCCCCCCTCCCGCTCTGGCCACACCAAGGAAGAGCCCAACCACCGACGGCCATTAGAAATCCCCCTCTCCCCTATCTTCATACTGTATGGTCCGACTACTTTCAAGAACAGATTAAAGGCATTTTGTGGTTTAGCAACTGCAGGGTCCGCAAAGCAACCAAGTGCTTCAGAGGCTGGGCTGCGTGCAGAGAGGTAAACATCGTAGGCACTGGCCCTCTCCACACCAAGTCTTGTTTTTCCAAAATAATGGGCACGCTGGGTTAGGACCAAGTGGGTATTTTGCAAATAAATCTATGGTCGCTGTTTCCACGTAAAACTGCTCCCAAAGGCAGAGCCTGGAAACGCTGCACACCTCCGAGATACGCGTGCGCACACGCACACGCACACTGCACCCGGCAGCCCCACCGTCATCTATTTATAATCACTCCCCGAAACACGAGAAATATTATAACTAATATGATGTATGTTTTGTGATTAAACGGGCGGATTAAAACATTGAATTTAAAAAGCCACACACACACAAAAAGGAGAGAGATTATCTTCCATTATGCCACTTACAACTTTTGTTCCATTGGTACAAACACAAATCTGACAACTGTATCATTACTGAAGGCAACGACTAGATACCATGATATTAGCGTTGTAATTTTCACCTGAAATCATGGTGTAATCACACTGCCTCCGAACCTTCCTATTAGCTGATTTTTTTTTTTTTTGCTCTTACAACAGGCATAAGTTAATTTAATGCCTTTATCCTTCCCAATTTTTATTTGGTAAAACAAGAAATTGGGTGAGTCAGAGCAACATTTGAGAACAACACTCTTTGTAAAAAAAAAAAAAAAAATCCCCTCTTCCTTGGCAGGGATGGAGATATAATTTGGTTGCAAATTCAAAAATCAAATTCTGCTTTGTTCAAGGAAAATCACAGCATTCGGGGAATGCCGCTGGGTGTTATTCAGACTGGTTTTTTTAAAAGTCTTCTTCTCCTGACTCGCTAGCGTGTGCTATTATTCCAAGTAAATGATATAAAACAGTGCGTTCAGATGATCAAAAAGGAGACCCAGAATGTCCGCCTCGCTGCCGAGCGCTCTGACCGCCCTGTTCCCCGTTCCCCGGCGGAGGGATCTGCCTGGGGGCCGCGTGGAGCCCGGGGTCAGGGAGTTGAAAAATCAGTCACACGAAGGGCTCTCGCTGTACCAGGATGTTTATAGTATCAGCCTCATCCAGTTATTTTTTCCTGATTTCTCCCAAGATCTGCCTAACGGGAGGGAATGCAGCCGGCGACTTCCTGCCCTGCCGCCGGCCGGCCGTGCCGTGCCGTTCGGCTTCCCCGTTCCCAACGTGGGGCCCTCCGGCCCGGCCGTTTCAGATGTTCCGTCTGCGGCGTCCGTCCGTGGGTTTGGCAAACAGATGCATTTAATCTAATTCGAGCAGGAGGATGAGTGTGAGCGAAACTTACATTTTCCACTTGGGTTGGGACCCCCGTAACCTGCAGCCCCCCTACCCACCCCCACCCCCGCCCCTGCAGAAGAACGCCGAGTTGAAAGCCGGGCCAAGAAACTCGAGCCCGGGCGTCTGCGGCGGCCACTTCTCCGGTGACCCCGTGTGTGTTTTCCGAGCAGCCGGCGGCTGGAAGCCTGCGTCCTGTGTGTAACGGCAAACCAGGCTCAGGAATGCCGCGCTTTCGCCTTTGTCTGCGAGAGCTTCGCAGGCCCGCCGCTCCCTCCTGATAGGCCGGCTCGGTAATAACTTGTCCCACTTTATTAGCAAGGCTTCGTTTTGTACTCCCCATTACGGACGCGCGAGCCTGTCCCCGCCGGTTTACCTCGGGTCAGCATGTTTCCCCCCTCGTGCAGAGACAGCTGAGGCAGGGCGAGGGAGGCTGCGGGCTGGGAAGTGAAACAGCGCACAGAGGAGAGCCGTGTCCAGGGGTCCCGCGCTGAGTGGGGAGACGCGTGCACACGCCCGGGGAGAGAGGCTCCTTCCCCCTCCGAGCATAATGAAGCAATTTCCAAAATGTTGTGCTTTAGAGTTCACTCGGTTTCGTGCCAGCCGTGGCGTGGCGACCAGCAACAGAAAGGAAGCTCTGGCCGTGGGCTGAGCGTGGGTGAGGGATAAAGCACCCGGCGGGACCCGGCTCCAGCAGCCCCCACCCCCCCCACCCCCCAATAAAACCCAGCACGCCGGCAGACCCCTTCTGGGTCTCCTTTCCTTTTTAAAAAATATAAAGAACAGACTCCGGGCGCCTGCAGCTGACAGCGATCAGCGGCACCTTCTCTGCGCTCCTGACGGACCGCGGCCACCCCACACCCATGCAACACCCCCCCCGCCCCCCATCTGTTTAGAAGCCCTCTGACGGGGGCTGCCTCCCTGTGTTCCACACACCTGGGGAGTCCGCACGCTGGCTTTCCCGGAGGCGGCGGCTGCGTAGGTGCATGAAAAAGTCTAACAACCCTCGAACCATTCCTGAGAAGTTAATTATTATTTTTCAAATTAAAAAAAAACACATAAAACTAGGAGTCCCAATAAATGTGCATTCTTCATATAACATATATAAGTGTGTGAACATACTGTACAGGACGCACACACGTCAGCGTGAAAAACCCCCCTGGCCGACGAGCAGTGCCGTTGGTATTTGCATTCCAGAGCAGTAACAACACAAACCAGAAAATACGAATTAGGGATGAAGGGCCAATACCCCAGGTCCACGCGCATCCAGGTCTCAAACGCCAGAGCGGCGTCTCTGACTTTGCACGAGGCCAGAGAGAAAGCCTGGTGTCAGGTCCATTTTTTTAAAAACTCAACTCCCTCTCAAAGAGACGTGGGTGCTGCCTTTAGGTTAGTCTCTCCATTCTGCAGCTTCTAAAATGGAGTCACATAAATTGGGAAAATGAACATTTTTTTTTTCTGAAGAATTTATTGTGCCGCTTACAGTAAACTTTTATGAGCAATTAAAGATACATTAGAGTGCGGAGTGTGACAGCTTCTGGGAGGAGCAGGCGCCCGAGCCGCCACGGCGAGAGGACAGCGGAACGCCCGAGAAGAGTTTCTCTCCCCAAACGTCCCAGGAATGTCTCCCCTCCGTGGTCGCAAAGCCTCGGCGTATTTGAAGTATTTTTAGATCGTATTAATCCTTTATAGGGGCCTGGAATAGTCATTATTTTAATGATCACATCTGCTTTTTAAATCACATCCAAGGAGAATTTCGCTATTAAAAATTTAAAGCAATTTCAAACTTTAAAAACTGTCAAATGTTTATTTTAGAAATTTTTAAATCATGCTGAGATGCTTGTGAAAGTCCGTTGGATTTTTTTTTTCTTCCCCGTACACAAAAATGAGAATTTTAGTATCATTTCTTAGCCGTGCAGCCCTTCAGGGAACGGGGTAAATTAGAAGCCCTCTAGAACAAGGGGTGGGGGGCGGTGTGCAGGAAAGAAAATAAACCCTGCTTTGGAACTCAAATAGTTCATTGTCAAATTGCAAGAGACAGCAAGAACTTTAAAAAAAAAAAATCAAGGCTTCACAAATCGCTTCTTTAAAATGATCGCAGCAACAAAGCCCAGACTGCTTGCAGAACAGACACGGGCAGAGTTGGGGGGGACGGGAAGGGGGGGGCGTCAGTCACAAGTTGTTTGAAATTCGACCACACTGGTCTTCTTTATTAAAATGCTCCCATTTTATTTTTTTTAAATCTCATGCGATTCCACACCACGCAGGTAAGTAATTTGCTTTCCACAGAACGGCCGTTTCGTTTCCCTCACTCTGAACCCCACTGCTCTCGGGCTCTGCTAGCAGGCGGTGGAGCTCGGCTCAGATTTTTTCATCCATGCCCTTTCCAGAAAAAAAGCAAAGAAACGTCTTAAGTAAATTTATGACTGCAAGACGAGATAATATTCAACGGCTGCAAAGAAAAACGCTGCGAAAGGAAAGAAAGGAGAGCAAGAAAGCAATGCTTTCGTTCTGTTTTGTTTCTTGGCTCCTCGCAAGGCAACTTTTGCTGAAACTCTGGCTTTTACGAGAACTTGAAGTTTTGTGTTGTTTTGTTTTAGCCAAAAGCTGGTGGTCGTGTAAACAATCCAATGAGGGGGGTGACATTAATTTTGAAAAGAAAAGTCTACATAATTTTTACACAGAGAACACGTATTTTAAAGAAGTGTTTCCAAAGAAGAGAGGCGGACGGGCATTTCCACTCCTGGGCTTGCTTGCTGAGGGTGTTCACAAGCAGGGATTTTTAAACTTATCAGCAAGGGTTGTGCTTTTGCTCAAACTGCAAGACGGGGAAACTTTTCGACTCTTGTGTTCTCCAAATCCTGCTTCCAGAGCCCTTGTCTAAGAGGGGGCCGTGGACGCAGGCGCTGCCGCCGCCGCCTCTCTCTGCCGCTCTCCCGCTTCCCGAACCTGGCGGTCTCGCACACGTAGGACGCCGGAAATTTCTAGGACTCCGAGCCTCACTGGGAAACTTCTCGTGCTGGGAAAAAGCGTCTCAGCGCACACCTGGATCTACAGATTCGGAAAAATTAACCAGCTGTAGCCAAAAACGAAAACACCCCACCGCCCGAGCACGGTCTGCCAGAAACACAGAGTCCTTTGACGTGCGTGACAAGAAGACATAAATAAAACAGCTCGGAGGCAGACGGGCTGAATGAGCCTTTTAAGACAGCCTGTTGGTGCCTCCAACTTTAATATTAGAACGTTAAATGTTAGCCGCACGGGGAAAACATCCTGGAGTATGTGTGTGCGCACGTGCGTGCCCTCGAACATGCACGCGTGTGTGCGGGCGTGCCGGTGCGTGTGTGCGAGTGCAGAAACAGCAGCGTTGCCGCCCTTCGGGGGCGAGGCCGCCTTGCCGCCCTGCGGGAGCCCCGACCGGGTTGGAAGGGAGGCCCTACCTGTGGTCTTTTGGGGCCACTCTCTTTTTCCTTCTTATCCTAGGCTGAGGACATTTTTTCATTGTTCTCAGAGAGAGAGAAAGAGTAGGGGGTGGAGGGAGAGAAAAATCCATGTGAGGGAAACATTGATCGGTTGCCTTCTTGTGTGTGCCCCAACCGGAGATCAAACTCACAGCCTTGGTATGTGCCCTGACCGGGAACTGAACCCGAGACCCTTTGGTCTACGGGACACCGTTCCCAACAACGGAGACGCAACAGCCAGGGCGGGTCACTCCTTTTTCATTGCGACGAGCAAACACCCAAAGCCAGTGAAAACACTACCCACCGCACATAACGAGGGCGGACCTGAGTGCAGACCTCCCCCTGCAAGATGGGACTGCGTTTGTGGCGTGGCCAGCCAGGCTGACCTCAGGCACTGCCGCGGCCGGTGTTGGGGAGTGAGGCTGGGTTTGGGGGGAGGGCTCAGGACTCTCCGCCTGGCAGCTCTGGACCCCTCGGGAGGAAAGAGCAAACGGCGGGGACTGAGCTGGGGCTTGAGCCCCACAGACCCGGGCCCGAGCGGGCGGGGCCTGCAGCAGACAGACGGGCCGTGGGCCAGGGCGCTCCGGCCACATACGTGCCGGCAGGAGAGGGTTCTCAGGACCATCATATTCAGTCCTCCACGTCGGGGGTCACCTTGTTGTCCAGCTCCAAGGCTGGGATGTTCTGTATCTGGCCCAGTTTCTCCCTGGGCTTGGCCCACGCCCTCCTGGGGCCACTGCAGACGGTTTCGACACCGTTCCCATCAGCAGAAACACCCCACGTGTTCCATAAGCACCAGGTACCAGGCGAGCGGCTCGCATTTTTGTCATAAACCCGCCGCGCCTCGGGGAGTTCTTCCCAGGCGGTGAGGCTAGCACCTCGGGTGTCCACAGTTCCTGCCGCTCGCCCTCCTCGAGAGACCCTCACGACCCGAGAGGAAGGCAGAGCAAAGAACGGCCAGCCCGCCCGAAAGGCCAGGGCAGCAGGGGCCCGCGCGGGCGCGGCGGGGGTTTGGCTGACACTGCGCAGACCCCGGGGCCTCCAACCACGGCGTCCACACACGCCGCTTGGTTATTTTTTTTTAATTTTGCTTTTTTTAAAAGAAAAACATCACCATCCCCCCTCCTCGCACTCCTACACACATAGGCTTATTTTATAGGTAAGAGCAGTCCCCAGGAAAAACAGAGCCCCATTGAAATCTGGGTCCCAGAAGGGCCTGAAGCGGGCCGGCTTGTGTGACCCCCCTCCCCCGCCCCGCCCCCGCCGCCGGCTTCAGTCATCCGAGGCCTGCACCCCCCTGCCAGGTGCATCCTGGTCACTCCCACACGGTGGGCTAGGAAGAATGGACCTCCGGTGTGAAATCACAGGCCCGGGCTCCCCGCTGGGCCTGCCAGACTCCTCCTCACACAGCCGCCTGGCCTCGACCGCGCTGAGGGGTCACAGCGCACTCCGGGCGTGCCCTGGCCGAGCAGCCCCGCCAGAGCTGGCCCCCTGCTTGCGGCCCTCTGGGAACCCGGCAGGCTCCTGTCTGTGGTCTCCATGGGGAAGGCCAGGCAGGGGGCAGAAGGGTCTGCAAAAGTGCCAGTCGGCCATCAGCAAGGACGCCTGATGACAGGCCCCTGGGGAGAGGCCCACTGTGGGGCTTCTCTCCTGGAGGGGCGGCCAGGCCTGGACATCAGCATTCCACAGGGGCCAAGAAGTGCCATCGGATGAAGTTAGGAATCCTCCACGGAGGGGGAGGGGGGGAGGGAGGGCGGGCGCCGCGGCTGCTGCAGGAGGGGACGGACGAGGGGAGATGGGGCCGGGCTGCTGGGGAGCCAGTTCTGGGGTAGACAGTCAGAGCGCGGGGCTTCCCTCTCCCGCAGAAGTCTGCAGCGCATCTGGCTCCCCCCACGGCTCTTGGCAGGACCCCAGCGTTGTCCTCACTGCAGCGAGGCGCGGCCTGCCCCCCCCGCCCCCCAGAACACCAAGTCTTCCCCAGGCCAAATTCCACATTGGAATGTTCCGCCCCACAAAGCTCAGAAACGAACTTCACGTTTTAAAACAGTCTCCCTGGCAGGCTCTGGCCAGGGAGCTCAGTGGGTTAGAGCGTCGTCCCGATAGGCCGGGGTTGCAGGTTTGATCCCTGGTCAGGGCACACACAAGGATTAAGTGGAACGACAAATTGATGTGTGTGTGTGTGTGTGTGTGTGTGTGTGTCTCAAATAAAAAAATCAAAACATAAATAAAAATTAAAAGCCTCCTGGCAAAGCCAGGTGAACAAAACTACGACATAAGTGAGGAGCAGACCAAGGCACTGCCAGGCTGGGCCGAGGACAAGAAGCTGCTCTGTCCTTCCTCCAAGGCCAAGGCTCTTTTCTTTTCCTTTTTGAACATAGTCACAAGAGAAAGTGTTTTGTTAAAAAAAAAAACAGACAAAAATCTTTAAAATAAAAAAAGTTACAAGATACTAAGTCTCCAGAGCTTCTTGGGGTAAAAATGACAACCTTGTCCAGTGTTGGAGGAAGAAACAAGGGTCAGAGGACGCGGACTGATCAAGGACTGACTTGGTGCGGGCGGCCCTCACCACGCCTGCGCCTCCAGCGGCAGCCCGAGCCACCCGGGGCTCTGGAGAGGTCGTGCTCCGGCCTCAGGGCAGCCTGAGGAAGAGCCCACTGCCGAAGCGCGGAGCGTTCCGCGTCTCCCTCACAGGGGGCTCTGGATTCTGCTCTCCTCTCCCATGTGCAGGATTCCCAGCAGAAGTGAAAAGCAGAGAAAGAAAAACGGCCCAGAAAGTCTCTCCTGTCTGCACCTCCGCTGGCGCCGGAGACACAATGCGGCCGCCCCAGCCGCGGAGTCGGGAGGCCTGCGCGCGCCTGCTGCAGACTGCGCCGGGCTCGCCGCGCAGGGCCGGAGCGGGTCCGCCGGGCGAGCCGAGGCCGCGGCGGGCGATGGGGCTGTCTGGCGGGTGTCAGGTCTGGGGTCTGCACGCAGCGGGGTCCGAAGTCCGAGTGCGTGGCCGGGTCCACGTGGGCCTGGGCCGGGTCTGCAGCAGAGCCAGGAGGGGGCTCAGGATCGACTCAATCCGGAGCGAGCCCGCGTCCAGGGTGGGGATCTGAGTCCGCATCTGGGCATGGGTCTAAGCCACGGTCTGAGCTGGGGGTCCAGGTCCGTGTCCGAGTCGGTGTCCGAGTCCCTGTCCCGGGCGCAGCCGCGGTTGGGGTAAGAGCCCCGGATTGAGTCCGAGTCCGAGTTCGAGGAGGAGCCGGGGTGCGAGCTGCGGGCCGCTTCGGACTCGCAGTCCGAGTTCGTGTTCAGGCGGACCCGCGGTCCGGGGCAGGAGGCCCGGGTCCCAGCCCGTGTCTGGGGTCCCGCCTGCAGGCGGCTGGTTGGTGCCCGAGAGAACCGTGGTCTGGGGGCTGCGGCCGGGGCGCGTCAGGCAGAGATCGCGGCGCGAGCCGGGCGCGCGTCCCAGTCCGAACCCGGAGCCGCGCCGGGGTTCAGGCTCGGGATGCGCCCGCAATCGAGTCAGGGTCTGAGCCGGAGTCCGTGTTGGAACTGGGGTCCGAGCTGCGGTCCGTTTCGGAGTCGAAGACCAAGGCCGCGGTCCGGGCTTGGAATCCGAGCCCGCGTTCGGGCAGAGCCGGGATACGAGGTAGGAGGCCGCGTGAGCGTCCGAGGAGGAGCTGGGGTGCGGGCTGCGGGCCGTTTCGGACTCGGAGTCCCAGTCCGTGTTCAGGCGGACCCGCCGGCCGGGGCGGGAGGCCGGGGTCCCAGTCTGTGTCCGGGGTCCCGTCTGCAGGGCAGCTGGTTGGGCCCCGAGAGAGCCGCGGTCTGGGGGCTGCGGCCCGGGCGCGTCAGGCAGAGATCGCGGTGCGAGCCGGGGACCGCATCCGAGTCCGAACCCCGAGCTGAGCTGCGGTCCGGGTTCGGGATGCGTCCGCATCTGGGTCTTGATTCGGGGTGGAACCCGGGTCGGAGCCGCGGTGCGTTTCGGAGTCCGAGTCCAAGCGCGGCCCAGGCTCGGGACCGAGTGCGCGCCCGGGTGCGCGGCAACCGCGGCAGCGGCGGCGGCGGCACGCATCCCGAGCGGCCGCGCTCCAAGCCCCGACAAGTCCAAATCCGGAGCTGAGCGCGCGGACCGGGGTTGGCGCCCGTGACCGGGATCGTGTCCGTGGCCCGGTACGAGCCGAGGTCCAGGTCCGAGACCGAGTCCGGGGCGGAGCAGCGGCCGAGTACTGGTGCGCTCTCCTGCCGAGTCCGCGGCGGCAGCCGCGCCAGCGGCCGCATCTCAGCGATCAGCTGCGGGCCGCGCTCGGGGCCGCGCCGGCGTCCGTGTCCGAATCCAAAGACAAGTGCACGTCCGCTTCGAGTCCGTGTCCGTGTCCAAAGCAGAGCCACGGCCCGAGCCACGACCCGTGGCCATGTTCGTGGCCAGGTTCGTGCCCGGGTCCGCGGCGGCAATGCGCGCCGCAGTGGGCCATGGTCCACGCGTGGGGTCCGTGTCCGCGGCGGCGGTCCGAGCCCGACACTCTGTCCGCATCCGTGTCCGCGTCCGTGTCCGCGTCCATGTCCCGGGTGGAGCTGCGGTCCGTGTCCCGGTCCGCGTCCGCGTCCGGGTCCGCGTCCGCGTCCGAGTCCGCATCCGAGTCCGCCTCCGCCTCCGCCTCCGCCTCCGCCTCCGCGTCCGCGTCCGCGTCCGCGTCGGAGCCCAGGTTCCAGGCCCCGCCTGGGTCCAAGTCCTAGGTGGCGGGCGGCACGCGCCCCAATTAGCCGCAGGCGGGCGGCCCCATTGAGGGCGAACAAAGGGCACGACCCTGGGTCAGGGAGTCGCGGGCCGGCGGCCGCCGCTTTGTTCGCTGCACTGTTTACTTTGCCGAGCGAAGCGCACAATATAGTGACTAAAGCGGATTAGAGGGTCGCGCCCCGGAGGCCTCGGGACCTCCCAGCCGGGCCTCCCGGGCGGCCTGGCCTGCCGAGCGGACCCTGCGCCTCAAGGGGGCCGGGAAGCGGCGGGCCCCGGCCGGCTCACCTGCGCCGCATGGCGGCGAGCCCGGCTACTCCAAGCGCCTCCTGCCGCCGCCAGCCGCGAAAGCCGACGGGGACGCGCTGGTACTTCCCGACTCCGCCTGTTCGCGAGACTGGACCCTTCCCGACGCTGCCGGCCCCGGGAACTCCCTTTACAGGAAAGCAAACGCCACTTGCTTGAAGGCTAAAATATTTTACGTGAAAATACAGACAGAGTCTTCCATGTTCCCAAACCCTCTAGCATTATGGTGAAAAAAGAAAATCCCCGCCTTTTACTTGACACAGCCACGCGCCCCTGGGAATCAGCAGGAGACCTAACGGTGCAGAATAGTAAGTTGTGTGCAGAAGTCCCGAGATGCGCTGCGGAGAGAAAAATTGGTTTCTCTCTCTCCCTCCCTCCCTCTCTCTCTCTCAACAGCAAACAGTGAATATCAATACACAACTAAGATTTTCACCCAAAGACCACAGTTTATCATCTGGCATTATGAATTCAGGATCTATATACTTCTCCAACAGAAACTTGCAGAATCTTTTAAATGGCCCTTAAACACCAAGTGGTCAATGCAAAAAGCACAAAGTCGCGACCCCAGCACGGGGCCTGACCAGGGGAGGGTGGTCGTCTGACCGGGCACCTAAGACGAATGACTTTCTTTCCTTTCTCAAGGCCACTGGTTAGAGGACAAAAAAACCGCTTCTCCCTAGGTTCACAATAAATCTTGAGATTTCTCTGCCAGGACTGGGTGAGTCTGCATGTTTGGGTAGGGAACCCGTGTAGTGCTTCTTAATAACCTACCGACATGCAAGTCTTTTATAAAAGAACGAATAATATTTACTCACTATACGTACTTGTTGGCCTAACGAATATTTTCACTGCGTGCCGTCTACCCACATCCACTGACGCAACATACGCCGTTTATCTATATTTCTATTTGTCAGCCTTTAAAGAGGACTTTTCCCCCGCTTATAAAAATGCCATGTGTTTAGAGAAGGCACAGCTAAGTCTGAAGTGTAAGTAATTTAGGAATAAAACGTAAAGATGGAAATTTAAGAGACAGACCGTTTAAGTAGTCAGCGTAAAATGTAAACAATGCGAGCTCGAAATACGCGGAGAGGGAAAAATTCACCTAGATGCCATTCTCCAGAAATAACATTCCCTTGCTATTTCCTCCGCGACAGTCCACTCGGGCATGCGATCACGTAATTTGCATGTGCATTTCCTGTTTCTGAAACATATCCCCTTGTCGTTACAAATGCTTTGTCAACAGCGCTTGCACAGGCGGCACAATATCCCATTATTTTGTTACATGAAAATTACCGCAGGGTTCCCTATTATTCCAGATTCCTTTTCTGGGAGCTCTTTCTATGCTGCGACAGACACGGCAGCCAGCAGCGCTCTTGCCTGCGAACTTCGTCTGCGGGGACGTCTGCCGTGGAGGGTGTTGAAGCCACTGCGTATTCTAAGGGGGTTCAGGCGGACCCCGCAGATTCCCCTTCTCCTGTCAGACGTGAGCTCGGAAATTCTAGAACCCCCCTGGGCTCACATGTGCTCCAGAAGGCAGCCTGGAAGCCAGCTCCTTCCCCGCCAGAGGCCTGGGGACAGGGAACCTCTGTCTGACAGGTTCCCGGGGCCCACTGAGGCACAGGCACACACCCACCGGATTTTGACACGGTATTTGGGGGGTTGTGCGGGCCGACCTCTGCCTCCAAGTCACATGGCACCAGCCTGGACCGCTTGGTGGCTTTAGGTCAGGACCGGACGGTGGAACACCTTGGAAACATTATCTCAATGGTTGGATGAAACTTCGCCCAGCTGAGAAGGGGCACCTTTGATTTGGTCCGAGCGGTCCTCTCTGCTGAGACTTCTGACCTCAGACTCACTCCTCGCCGACGGGGCTGCAGGGCCCTGCTGTCCCCCCACCTCCCTGCCGGTCCTGCGTGGAGAAGGCCTGGCGGGCCCTTCTCCATCTGCACGCGCAGGCCCTGCCACGCACGCCCTGCTCCCCACGCGCCGGTCAGCCTGCAGGCAGGGCTCTGCCGTGGGGCCGTGTAGGCAGTCTGTCTGGGCCCCGAGCCCGAGGCCTGCCCCACGCACACCAGCTCCCACCTGCACGAAGGAGGCGGCCTGTGGGCCCCAGAGAAGCACCGGCCGGTGAGGAGCGGGGGACCCGGCCACAGGCACCGCAGAGTCATCACCCAAAGGAGACGAGGCTGCGAGAACCGGCAGGGCCGAGAGGAACAGCCGCACGCACACATTTGGCCACCGCTTCCCTGGGAGGAGGGGGGCAACCTTCCCCTTCCATGCATTTTCCTGCATTTTCCAACTTTTCTACAAGGAGTTTCTATTGCTCTGATAATTTAAAAACGATCCTATGAGTGACGTGACTGTCTTTCTTGCACGTCAAATCGATCTAACTCATTACAAGGATAAAAGGAATTACTGCTCATGAGTTTACACGAGTAGTTACCATCCCACATTGCCAGGAAAGTTATAAAGGTGACGGTGGCCGTTGCCGTGCGTCTGGCACTTCTCCCTCCAGAGAAACACTTTCAAACAGAAAATGAAACTGGGCGGCCTCACCAGGCGCATTCCGGCAGCTGCTCCCAGGCCCCCCGCCACGGCCCCCGAGGTCGGGCCGGGGACGGACACGGGTCTTCTCCCGTGGAATCTGGGGGCCCGGGTCATGGAGGCTTTGCGCCTCCGGCATCCCCCCAGCAGCGCCCGGCCCTCCGACCCTGGCACCCTCCTGCTGGGGAGACGTTTCCCCAGGGAGTGAGCGTGTTTCCTGGCCTTCCGAAAACATGTTTTCCATTCCCGGAGCGGGTGCCTGCGTCCAGGGTGAAACGGCAACGAGGGGAGATTTTGCTGCGTTTGCTTTGAAACAGTGCTGTTTGCACAGGGGCCCGGCGCCCCTCCAGAGGGGTGCTCTCAAGTTCGGGGGGCCCTGGGAAGTGGCCCGGCGAAGGGGGGATGTCACCGCAGCCAGGCAGGGCCTTTCTTTTCCACAGGATGACATTAGAGCCACATGCCACACTCTCCCTGGGAGGGACCCAGCACGCCCAGGACGGCGACTGGTGCACGGCCCATGGAACCTCCCGGCTCCAGCCCCACCAGCCCCGCCGAGGAAGGCGCCTGCCGGGGCGGGAACAGGCCTCTCCTTATCTTATTTATTTATTTATTTTCTGCGGTGGGCCATTTACAGCCCCTCGGTAACAACAGATGGGAACACATCTACAAATCAAATGCATTTGATCTGAAGTCTCTTTCTTTCAAAGTGAGTGAAAAGGCAAGCCAGCCGGCCGTTTTCTACTGTAAAAGGCAATTTCTAAATTTGGGGGTTTTTTTGGAGGGGGGAGGCGTAAAAAAAAAGAAAAAATGTGTCCTCCAGCTTGAAAATCCAAGGGCTCTCAGAATGCAAGCCCCGCACACCGCTCTTTGTGCTGAAATCATCTCTGCCGGTTTAAAATAAATCAGAAGGAGACGATGAGAACTGAGCATATGTCTCCCATCACCCGCCGTCTGCAGACGGCCGTGGGACGCTGCACGCAGCCCGCCGAGAGCCAGGCGGGGGACCGGCCCCCGGCTCGCGGCCGAGGGGGTTCGGAACGGGGAGGGGCGGGGGACCCCCCCGGGCGGCAGACAGACCTCAGCGTTTCAGATTCCCAAGGCAGCTTCAGTTTTAGACAAGGAGTAAACGCACAAACTAAATAATTCTAAAATGTAATCAACAGGTAAGATACAGACACTGGGAGACATTCACGCCCTCGGAGAAAAATGCCTGGCCCTCGGAGGTTTTAAGCCGTAAACCTTGGGCACTTCTTAAAAAGACCCTCTCTTCCCTGGTCCTCCTCACGCGGGGCACGGTGGGGCCCCCCGCCTCCTGAAACAGAAACACACGCCACTCGGCTGCCGCGCAGAAAGGCCGGAGTGCCGAATCTCTGCACAGACAATCCTCAAATTAAGGCGCCGGCGAGCGGTGGTTTATGCCTTTTGGGGGGCAGTTACCTTCTCCACGTGTTAATAATTTAACTGTCAGAACGCAAACAAACGGCTAATTCCGCCCCTGGACTGCGACCCAGAAGGGGAGATTTTAATCTAACTGTGAGATAGCGGACGCCGACAGCAGCCCTGCTTTCAAAGTGTCCCCAGACGGGGCTGGGACATGACTAATTTATTTTATCTTCTCCGTCTATCTGGGCACGGGATTAAAATATTTATATCAGTCTGTTCGCTTTAAAACAGGCGGTTGCGGGCACCAGCTTCAGGGCCCCTCCTTAATGTTCACAGTTTGGGCTTCTCATTGTTTCCAGAAAAGCACAGCCCTCGCGCGGTGAACGCTCTCCAGCGCTGCTGGCGAGACCTTTGCGTGGGGAGCCCGGCTCCTCTCGGCTGGCTCCCGGCCCATCGGGAAGCCCTTCCTCCGGCCGCGAAAACAGCCCCGGCGACCACCCGGGGCAAACGCCTGTTCCCCGAGAGGAGAGGAGCGAGTGAAAGAAACCTCGCAGGCACCGTCCCGGCTTCTCCAAGGAGCCTGCCTCCGGCCGGCCGGCCAGCACGGCTGATGGAAACCAGAGCCTGGCAGGGGTGCCAGGTAGGTAGTGGGCAGCAGGGGGTTAACCGGCCAGTGGGGAGGGGCCCAGACGAACAGCCGGGCAGGCAGGGATGGGAAACCAGCCGGCAGGGGAAGCCGGGCTGCAGGGCTCAGCCCGGCCAGGCGCAGACACAGGGAGCTCTGTCTGCCTGCCCGCTGCCCGGCACTGTGACTAACCGCCCCGCTATTGTGCCCTGAAGCCAGCCCTTTGTGCCGGTGCCCCCGGCGTCTGGGAGCTCGGTGGAGAGGCCTGTGCACCAGTCCCCCCTCGCCCTGGGAACGCGCAGCCTCAACACCCATTTGTGCGGCTCCCGGGGAGGGCTGCGGGGGCGTGGGAGGGGGCCCTCCTGGCTGGGGTTGGGGCAGGGGAGCATCCAGCGAAAAAGCAGCAGAAAAAGCAGCAGAAAAAGCAGTCTCCCCAACCTGGGGGGCCGCGGGGACCGCTGAGCCGGCACTGCCCTGTGCACCAGTCTCCCTTCACGAGCCGCACGAGGCCACGGAGCCTTTGAAATGCGGAGCGTGTGAGCGGCCGCGATGCGCGTCTGAAACACACTCCAGATTTCAAAGATGCAGCAGGAAAAAAATGTAAAATAGCTCATCAATAATTTTGTATTAATTACATACTGAAATATGTATGCACATCCATATATATATATCAGTATAATTTAAAGTACAGTACAGTATATCATTTAAATAAATGGTCCTGTGGCAGTGAATGTCACCTACTTTCACTTTTTAAAAACCGTGGCTGCTGGCACGCGTCAGTTCAATGGCAGATGCCGGCCCTGCCTGGTGCGGCTCAGGTGGGTCGGGCCTCGTGCCCAAAGAGAAAGGTCACCAGTTCGACTCCTGGTCGGGGCACGTGCCTGGGTTGCGGGCCCGGTCCCCGGTTGGGGCACGTAGGAGAGGCGACGGATTCATGTTTCTCTCTCACATCAACATTTCGCTCTCTTTCTCCCCCCCTTGCCCTCTCTCTACAAAGAAATAAACTCTTTTCGAACACCGCAGAGGCGGCCGTGTGTGGGGCTCGTGGCGTGTTTGTGCTGCACGCAGCTGCGTCAGACGGGGCAGGGGAGGCCGTGCCTGAGCCCGAGCCCTCGGCCGGCTTTCTGCCTGGGAGAAGGGGGCTGGGAGAGGCCACCACGAATCCTGCCTGGTGACAGCCCACACCCGAGGGCCAGGGATACGCGGCCCTCACGGCCGTGCCCAACCTCAGCCTCATCGTGGAAACCGAGCCTGGCACACCCCCGGGTCTAGGAGCCCTTTGGAAAGCACATGTGTGTGCACAGAGACACACAGAGGCGAGAGCCCCGGGTCGGCCTGTCCTGGCTGGCCTTTGGCGAAGCCACATTCACAGGGCCCCCAGGTGGCCCCCAGAGGACCCCCTGGAGACAGGCCTGGGACAGACCGGCCTGGCTGAGGCCTCATCTCAGCCTCTGTGGCCCGAAAACTTCTGCTGTTGTCACTGCTCCCGCCAGAAATGTCGGGAATGCCTCTGGCCGCGCTGCCGGGAAGAGGAATACGATCTGGGCTGAATTCACCGTTCTGTGTTCATTAGGGTTCTAGCCGTTTTTTTATTCTGATTTTAAGAGACACTAAAATTAAAACATATTCACGAGCCCTGGGCCCCAGACCCCGCCGGACAGTCCCGCCCAGCACCCGCGCCGCCGCCGCCGCCGCCGCCTGCTCCGAGTCCTGACCCGGGAGGCATCCAGCCCCTCCTCTGCATTCAGGAGGCACCTGCCCCTCCTCCACTGACCAGACGCCCCTCCCCCCAGAATGCATTCCTCCAGTCCTGCCCTGAACGTGCCGTGTGTGAAGCCGCCACCAGATGCCAAAAAACTGCCCGTATTATTTTTTTTAAACACCGAACTCCGTCACGAGGGAGGCGCAGGGCCCCAGCCTGGCTGAGGGCTCCCCGTCAGCGAGAACCAGAGCCCCGTGAGCACGGCTGGGGTCCCCCACCAGAGACCGAGTCACCACACTCAACACCAAAAGACAAGCCTGCCGAGCACCGGGACGGTGACAGTAGAGGTGCTGTCCCAGTGCCCAGTGGCCCAGCACGTGCCGTGGTGTGCGGGGCCCGGGCACCCCGACCTCCAGCCCTCGGGCCCCTGCACTGGGCCCAGCCTCTGGCCGGGGCTGTCAAGGAGGCTCGGCTGCCCGGCATGTGCCAGAAATGGGCCTCGGGAGCTGCGGCCAGTCCCCTCTCACGGCGCCACCGTGCCAAGCCTGGGCCCAGACCCTGCCGGGGAAAACCTCGGTGCAGGAGATGGTTAAAATTCTGCATCCTTTTTACATCCGCCTCTAGAGGAAGCACTGCTTTTTTTTTTTTTTCCTCCCAAGCAGGAGGAGTTAAAAAAAAAAAAAAAAGCTGAGAGCAGCAATTTGCAGGCCTTGGGATGTTTTTCTCCTTGACAGCCCTGGGCCCCGCCTCGCTGGGCCTTCCTCCGCCCACGGCCACAGCTCCGTGTCTGCGTTCCTGCCGGGGCCCCTCGCGTCGTGCTCCCTGGGCCTCCCCTCGGCCGGTCCAGAGGGAGGGGGGAGGGAGGGAAGGAGAGAGGCCAGCCGGGAGGCAGCAGCCAGGCCTGGCACTGCCCCGCTTTGTGCCCGCTCCGTGCGGCCGCTCCCCACCCCCCCACCCCGGCAGGCCTGCCCGCCCCGCCCCACCACCTGCTGCCCGCCCAGCGCCCACCCTGCGCCCACTCCGCCCCCACCGGGGTGCCCTCACCTTTTGGGCCCCGGCCTCCGGGCCGGGGCGCTGCGTGAGCCCGGGGCGCCCGGCCACGTCCTCGGCGCTGCCGCCGCTCGCCCCACCCCGCTGCCCGAGTGCGGCGGCGAGCCTGGCACCGTGCCAGGCTGCCTGGGAGCCCAGCCCGGGCGGGGGGGAGGGGTGCGGCGGTGCCAGGGGAGGGAGAGGCCCAGATGCCCGGCTGGCCCACGGGGCCTCCCCCTGCCTCCCGTCTCCCGAGTCCCATAAAGGCACAGACGACACGGGCGGTTTAGTCAAAACAGTCCCGGGCAGGAGCCGGAGCCCCAACAAAAGCCCGTATTTATTTATTTAGTTCACACACGCAGATAAGGAGCCACCTTTGTGCACATAATTTCACACACACCAGAGAGGAGGGTGCCACGGGGCTCCCACCTCCGGGGCCTGGAGAGCCGCCGGGCGGGCGCACGGGGACCGTGACGCCCGGGCCTGGGCATTTCCATGTTTAAATTGGGCAGCAGCGTATGATTAATTAAGGAGGAAAAAAGGCGAAAAGGAAGAGAAATGGTGGGGGGTGGAAAGCCGGATGTTCTGGGCAGCACAACACGCCAAGGTGCCCACGGAAGCTTAACTCCTCCCCTGCTGGGCATGGTGGCTCGGGGGGGCGGGGGGGGAGCACCAGCCTTGCCCCTGCTGAGCCCAGCCTTGGGGTGCACAGCCTCACCGGCCTTTGTGCATCCAGTGTCGCCCCAAGAAAGCTCTTGTCCTGGTTTTCTTACTCGGGGCTGCTCAAGCGTGTTGGGTGGGGCTGGGAAGGGGTCACCCGCTCCAGCCGGGATGGGCTGTCCCTGCACCCCCCGCCCCCGGCACAGCCCCGGTGTGCGGGCTGCCATGAGGCCCCGAGCCGGGGCGGGGGGGTTCCAGACCCCTCCCCACCCACGCAAGCCCCTGCCGAGGGCTGCCCCACGGCCCTCCGTCCCTGGGATCACCGGGCCTGTTCTGGGGACGGGGCTGAAAGGCCTGCTGCCCTTCTGGGAAGAGTCGCGGGCTCTGGCCCAGGGAGAGCTGGGAAGGGCGGTATTGCTGGAGGGAGGCGGTGGCCCCACGGAGCCCTGGATTGGGAGCCACCACCAAGGCTAGGCCCTGCCCCCTGGTGCCTTGAGCAAGTTATCCAGCCTTTCTGGGCCTCGGTTTGCCCACCTGTAAAATGGGGGCAACAGTGCCCGCTGTGCCTACCCCACGGGGTTGAGGTGAGAAAGAGAGGCTCCTGGTTGAGCAGGGAACCTGCCCGGGTTCCCAGAACCTCTGCCCTGAAGAGGAGCAGAGGGTGGGGCTATGGGCCTCCGGCAGGGAGCTCCTCAGAACAGTCCGGGCTCACTCGGCAGGTGGATGGAGTTACGGGCCTAGGCGGTGAGAGGCGCCTGCAGTACCCAGGTGGGTGCAATCTGACCACGCCCAGTCTAATCTCATCACACCCAATCTAATCTAATCTCATCCAATCTAATGCTTCCTCGCGGCTGGGGGCCCGGGCCCGCTGCAGCTGGCGAGAGTCACGCCACCCCTCTCTGGGGACCGAGGGAGGGGCCCCGAGCCCAGGCACTGGGCGCCCCTGGGAGCGGGGGAGGGCCGGAGCACGATTCCGCCCCGGAGCCTCCAGCACGGGTCGGCCGGCGCCTCGGATTCAGCCGTGAGAAGTTTCAGGCTTGCGGCCTCCCTGACAGTGCGACCACACACTTGCGCTTCGGAGCCACCGCAGGGGCGAGCCGCGTTAAGGCGGCAGGAGCGAACCGGCAGGCCACCTCCCGCCCCCACACGGGGCCCAGAGGCGTCTGAAGGGGGCTGCAGGGCTTGGCCTGGCCCACCAGCTCCGGACCCCTGTCTTCAGTGGGCGCCCCTGGGCGGGGTCAGCGGCCCTCCCCCTCCCCCTCGGGAGCCTTCGGGGGTGGGGGTGGCCAGATCCCCTGCGGACCCTAGCCTCAAGCCCTTCTCCCTCTCCTCCTCCCCGCGATGGCTGTCCGTGCCACCGTACGGGGTGTCCCCTGTGACTGGCACCGCGCTAAGGAAGGAGTATGTCACCCATCCCCAGCCTGAGGGTCGAGGCAGCCCGACCCCCAGATCCTGCCCAGAGGGTGGTGGGACGTGGGGCCATCGTCTGCCTCACCACATCACACACGTGCCCTACCCACAGCGGGACAGGCCGGAGGTCCTGGGCCGGCGCCTCTGCCCACGGGTCCGTAAAGGGGGCTGAACACAGCCCCTCACGGGGCTCCGTGGGGCAGGGCTGGCCCCAGCGGCGCGTGCGGCGAGGACTCACTACTTCCCAGTCCGGTCAGCTCCGGGGAGGCTTGGGTTTCCCTCTAAAACTGAAAAGATGGCCAGGCAGCCCTGGCGGGCAGGGCTCCGTTGGTTGGAGCATCGCCCCTTGAACGGAAGGGCCATGGGTTCGATTCCCAGTCAGGGCCTGAAGGACAGGCAACCGACCGATGTTTCTCTTTCACGTCCGTGTTTCTCTTCCCTCTCTCTAAGATCGGGGAACACGTCCTGGGGTGAGGATTTAAAAAAGGGGAAAGATACAGGGCTATTCTTTCAGCCACTGCACGAGGGGCTGCAGGCTGCGCCCCGGGCCCAGGTGGAATTCAGAACCAACCCAAGAAGCTTCTGGAACCTAAAGGTCTCCCGAACAACCCTCCTTCCCCTAGGAAATGAGCAGAAATGTGCACACGGACATTCCTCGAAGTGTTGCTTGGAACAGGGAGAACAGGAAGTCGCTGGAAACACTGTGTCCAATCGTAAGCAGCCAGTGAAGGGAACCCACCACAGGGAATATTAAGCAGTCATTAAAAATCGACTCATAGAACAGTATCTTCTCACGTATAGAACGGGCCATGATAAAGCATTTAGTGGGGCCAGCAGAAGATAAGATGATACATGTAATCAGACACTAAGGTGGTCATTTTTGTTTCAAATTGTGCTCTTCATAGAGGCCGGGTGAAGGATTCCCACTGGCTGTCTCTGAGGGCAGTTACACAGGTGACTGACAGCTTTTTCCTCCTTGTATGCGGAGTGAAAATGTCCTGAAATTAGCATGTGACATCAGTAATGGGACAGAACAATCCTTGCAGAAGAGTGGTCATGCCTCCTGCGTGAAGCTGTCCCCGGGGCTCCAGGGCCTGGGCACGTGGCTTGGACACGTGGGAGGGACGGGGCCAGCACGCTGGTGTCAGGACCTGGCAGCCCCTGGGGCCCGCCCGCGGCAAGGCCCTGCGCTCAGGAGCACCCGAGAGTGGTTTGTCGCGCTGTTCTAACCGTCTTGACGTTCTTGATCACTTTGGATTCAGAGCCCCACAGTTTGAGTCCACACGGGGCCCTGCAGACAAAGGAGCAGGTCCAGGCCCAGAACCCCGGGCTCTGCGTGTGGGGGACCTTCCTCTCCGGTTTCCTAAACGCGACACCAGCTTTAGGTGCCGCGTGAGTTTTACCTCCCACTCGGAGATTCCCTTTCTTCCTCTCCTCGCGACCTGCGCTGTCGGCAAAGACGGGAAATGAGGGAGGGGGGCTCGTAAAAGCACACCTCGCTCACTCGCAGCCCTTTCCCTGGAGTCTGAACTCGGCCCCTCGTCGTGTTGTCGGCACCTTCTCACCAGGGGTGTGTTTTCACCGGTGAGACCGGACGCCACCGCTGTGGACCTGTCCCACGCCCGGTCCTGCCGGTAAAGACTCGGGCATCCCTGGGAAGCCTCCTCCTACAGCTTCTGCTGCAACTCCGCTGCCATGGAGGTGGTGAGCTGCTCATCTCTGGGGGCATTCAACAGAGGCCGCACACCCAGCAGCAGGAGCACTGTGCAGAAAACACCATCTCCGAGAATAGAAAATTAATTCATTCAGAGAGCCTCATCCTGGTGTTACAAGGTCACAGGGCACCCGGCAGCTCCGCACGGAAGGGCCTGTGTTGCGCGCTTAGCTCTCCGTCTGCAGCGCCCGGCATGGAGCTGCAGGCAGAAGGGAGAGGCGCTGCAGGAGTGGGGAGAGGCAAGCCGCTGCACGCTGACAGGAGAGGCGAGGGGGCCGCTCCCGAGCCGCCCCAGGAGCAGGTGACGGACGAGAGAGGCCGGGACCCACAGCCCACCCCAAGCAGCCTGCAGCGAGAGAGCAGCAGCGGACCGTGACCGAGGGCCCACTGCGTGCTGGTGCCACACTGCGTGTTCCCACAGGCCCCACGGTTCTCCTGATATTTGCCCGGAGAGAAGCAGTGAGAGCTCAGAGAGGGGAGGTCACTGTCCCGGGGCCACCCTGCAGGCAGGAGGCAGTGAGAGGGGTGCGGGGGCGGGGCCTGGCTCCCTGCAGGGTGGCCCCCGCGCCGCGCAACGAACGCCCAGGCTTTCGTGACTTGCAGCAACGCTACCTCCTGGGCGGCGGAGAAAGGTCAAGTTCAGGTTCACTTTCTGCTTCCCACCTTTCCTGTGGCCCACACAGCACCAGGCACAGCCATAGTGGGTACAGGGGCTTCCCAGAGGGTCTGCCAATGGGGCAATGGGACCCCTCCTTTGGGCAGATTCTAACTTCATATCAGCGTAGGCGGCAAGCAGATCTGGCCTGAAAGAGGCAAGCCGGCCTCCGCCACCCGGAGGACTGGGGGTGCGGAAGCCAAGGCGTCCCTGAGATGCGGGCACGGGAGGTGCAAACCCCGCTCTCTCCCTGGGCCCAGATCTATGGGGCTTCCTTCTCAAGCCCGGGCTGGAACGGGGGCACCCCGAAACCTGCCTCTCTTTTGACGCTAACCAGCGCGTGTGCACGAGGCGTGGTGGCCTGAGGGGCCACGGGCTGGGCTCGACCTCCTTGGGCCTCACGGTGTTTCCCGTTTTGGGACCTCCGGTGCACGAACCTGGGTTTCCCTGCCCTGCAGAGTCGGAAGCAGCGGGACCTTAGACATTCACGCTCTCGGTGGCAACTGGTAGGAGCTGACGCGTGGGCTCCCTACCAGTGAGGGACTGGGCTCTCTCTTCTCACCGTCCAGCAAACCATGCACGGCACCCCGGCGCACTGCCTGTTTGAGGTCTCTGCTGCAGTGGTCAGGGCACAGAGGGGGTGACCCGCCCAGGCCCTGGCCAGCCCGCACCCTCTCGCTGCCCTGTGGGCACTCCTGCTCCCACCCTGCGGCCTCCCACGGAGCAGGACTCTGAGTGCAGGGGTCATGGAGGAGGTTAGGGGTGGACTCTGGAAGGTTGGGGAGCCAGCCACTGCCCCTCAGGCAGTCCCTGCTGTGTTTGGGGACCATCCAGTTAAACTCGGATCCCCAGGCCCAGGCCCAGGGAAGCAAGCACTGCAGCGGGAGCTTCCGAGGCTCTGCCCCCACCCTTGTAGGGGGGTTTCCCTGCCCTGGGGGTTGTCCCCAGGGACCAGGGCGTGCACAGCAGCAGAGGGAGGTGGGTGGAGAGAAACCAGCTGGGAGTGTGGGCTGAGCCTGGGCCCGTGGGCAGAGGCAGCGGGGTGTCACTGTCCCTGCTCTCCTGGGCGGGGCCCCCGGTGCTGGGCTGTCGATCTGCCCAGGCACCGCTCACGGCTGTCATGTCCTGTCCCCAAGCTCCAGCTGCGGTGGCGTGGCGGCGTGGCTTCCCCGGCACACTCAGCCCAGGCAGAGCATCCGATGGGGCAGTGGGCGCCAGGGCTCCTGCACAGGAGGGTCCCCCAGGACTCATTCGGGGAAGCCACCCAGGCAGCCGGGAACCCCCAGGACCCGCTCCCCCGGCAGCAGGCGAGGGCCTGGCGGGCAGGTGGGGGCCCCTCGCCCTGGCAGGCTCTGAACCTCGTGTGGGGCCGCCAGGCCTCGGACGGGTACCACCTGGAAGCCGACTGGCACCGGTGCCCCAAGCTTCCCTCCAGCCACGGGGCGGGGGGCGGGGGCGCACAGGACCAGGGGAAGGAAGAAAGCCAGGACGGGCTTCGTTCCCCTTTAAGAGCCCTGATGGCCGCCGCCCAGCCCCGGCAGCCCCGGGGGAGGGAGAACGTGGGGCAGGCGCCCTCCCGAACTTCCCGAGTCTTTGTTCCAAGGAGGAGGCCGGCGCGCTCGCCCCGGGGCGCCCCCTCCTGGCCCGAGCCCCGCACCCCGGCTGGCCAGGGCCCAACCCGCCGGCTACGCCGGTGCCCCGCGCGCGAGGGCGGGACAGTGAGCGCCACTTACCAGGTCGTCCCGGTCCCCGCGCCCGGCGGTGGCAGCGCAGTCAAGTTCACGTCCGGCCCGCGGACTGTCCGAGGTCCGGGGGCGGCCGGGCCGGGCCGGGCCACGAGGGGTCGCACCCCGGGGGTCACCGCCGCGCCCGGCCCCAGTCGGCTGGGGGGCGCCGCTGCGGTCACCCCGGCCTGGCGACCCCAACTTTCTGCACAGTCGCGGCGCTGGAAGTTTCCGGGCTTCGCGGGCGCTGGGCTGGGTCCCAGCGGCGACGTCTGAGCTGGCAACAAAGAGGGTGCGCGGCTGGGAGAGGGGAGCGGAGAAAGACGGACGGGGGAGCCGGGGGCCGCTCAGGCGTCCCAGGGACGGGGAATTCCACCCAGAAGCTTCGGGGCTTGTCTTTGCTTAAGGGGCAAACCAGCACCCCATGGGACCCAGCGGCCCCGGGGCGCGGCCCCTTGCGGAAGAGGCACACTCACTCCTCTGGCACCTGCCCGAGTTACAGAGCCCGCAGCAAAGCGCGTGGGCAGCTCCGGGGGGCAGGCGGGAAGGTGGGCGCAGACGCTCCCTGACAGGTGGCTGGCGCTCAGAGCGGGGCCCCGCCTCGGGTGGGGGCAGGCCCAGGGCTTCCTCTGGTCTCACCCACTGGGTGCAGGAGCGATGACCCTGGGTCCCTGTTCCCGAGCCAGGGACAGCGGCACCCCTGCCCAGTGTGCAGGCTCTGGGGACGAGCCAGGGGGATCTGAGCGGTGGCCGAGTCCAGGGCAGAGGATGTGAGGGCCCTTCCAGCTCGGAGGCAGGAGCACCTGGCTGCCCGTGGGCCGTGGGCGGCCCCACACTGGCCCATGGGAGTGTGGGCCTAGCCGCCCTTCCCTGCAGGACGTGTTGGTGGAGAGAGCACTGGGCCCCAGGCCTGACTGCAGGGGCAGTTTCAGGCTGGGAGGGTGGGCTGTTCGTTTTCTAAAGAAAAATGAGCAAGGGGGCTGGGGAGGCCAGGGTGAGGGGTGCAGTGGGTGGGGGGAAGCGGGGAATATGTTGCTTCTTGTTCCAAGAAAGGGGGGTGATGCCTCAGAGCGCTGGACGGGCTGCCTGAGTGGGAATGGATCTTCCCTTCCAGCGATGTCTCCGGTGAGCCCCCGCCCGCCGTGGGTCCAGACCTCCGCACGTGGTGCGTGGAAGAGGCTGCAGCCCCGGGGGTCCTGGCAGGGCTGCTCCTCCACCCAGGGGCCCCTGGAACCTGGCGTGAGGACCTAGAGATGGAGGCGGGCGGCCGGGCCCAGGGCTGGCAGGAGAGGCGCATGGAGCTGGGGTTCGAAGCCTCGGATGCCGGTCCGGGCAGCTCACCCGCAGAGGCCCGCATCCCTGGTGCCCACGCGGGCCTCGCCTGGGGGACAGTGCCCTGGCCAGTGGGTGCTCTCCCGCAGGGGGTGGGACGAGGGTGCTGACCGTGTCTCCACAGGAGAAAGCTTGGGCGTCAGCTCACCTTTCTCTCAAGACCAGGACCGGGCGGCCACGCCTGCCCCAGCAGGGCCACTGCAGCTCCCAGACTCTGGGTGCCGGGGGTGACACTGCATGAGCACGTGTGAGAAGTGTCCCCCCTTGCAGAGGGAAGCCCGTGAGGGGGACCCGGCCCTTGCCCAGGAAGGGAGGCCTGTCTGCTCGCCCCCAAGGTGTCCTCCCCAGGCTTCCACTCCCGAGCTGCCTTCGCCGCTTTATTTCCTGGACGGGAGGGCGCCCGGGGGCCACACCCCTTCCAGAAGCTCGCAGCCCTGCGCTTCTGGCTCCCCCGTGGTCACCGGTGTCCCTGCTGTCTCCGTCTCAACATGTCTAGCCCTTCCCCAACGAGGGGGCCTGCTTTTTTGTTTTGCCCCAGGCCCTGAAAATTGTGTAGCTGAAACTTACTTCGGCCATTGCTTAACCGGATTGGAAAGTTTAAAAAAAATGATTTATGCATATATTGTTTACTAGATTCTGCTCACAGAAATAATTCCAGAGTCCATGTAAACAAGATAAAAATGTTTTCATCAAAGATCGCTGCTTTCAGGGGAAATGCGCACCCTGAAGAGGCCGATGTTGTTCTGGAAATAACGCAGTTCTGAGTCAGGGGCATCCACACTCGGCCGTCTCCGTTCTCGGTTCCCGGGGGCAGGGGGTGGGGGGGGAGAGCTCCTGCCTGTGGGGTCCTTGGAGGAGCCAGGAGGGTGGAGCGACCTGGCACACACCAGGGTCAGAGTCCTCTGGATCGTCACGGCTGTCACCTGATGCGAAGGCTCAGGTACAGAAGGACTACGTTTAATGTCCGTGCATTGTATCTCCTCTAACTATGCAAGCAATGCCCGCCGTGACAGAAAACCCGGGAACACCGAGGGGGGTGGGGAAGCAAGCATTTCCCCCTCAGCCCCCTCCCTTCAGAGCCTTCAGCCAGTCCCGCGGCAGCCTGGCTCGTTTACAGCGACAGAAAGAGGCATGCACACACGTTACATTTTTTAAATGTTCTTTTACATCATTGACTTGTTTTTACATGGAAATGCTGGTGAGGCCCAACTGGAGCCTCTGAGCAGGACTGGTGACCCCTGGGTCTCGAACTAGTTCCAAGCGGCCACACCCGACCAGCAGCATCGCACGCAGGTACGACCCTCCGGCCTGAGCCACCTGTTTGCAAGGACCACACGGGCATGACGCCCCGCCATCACGGAAGTGCTGGCGACGAACACCCCACATCACCTGTCTCCTTAACCTGCTGCCACCTGATCTTTCCCCTTTATGTCTTGGTTTTTAAAAAAAATGTATTTTAACAGTTTGGAGCTCTTATTTTTCATTTCCACAGTCTGCTGTAGAATCTGCTCAGTCGGGGGTGGGGGGAAAGGGACCGCCCCTGTGGGGTCTCCTGCACAGTGGCCTTTCGAGGCCAACTGGCCGGAGAGAGGGGGCCAGCCAGCAGCAGGGGCCCGACGCTGGGCTCCCAGCAGCTCCGAATGGGCGGGCACAGCCCTGTCCTCAGAGAAGCTCACTCTGCGTAAGCGCTGGCCCCAGCGGACGGGCGCCCTGGGTGCGCCGGAGGCTGTCCGTCGCGCCGGAACCCACCATAGCAGGCGGCAGGTGGAGGAGAGATGCAGCCTGGAGCCCCCCACCCACACTCCCCTAGTGAGCCACTTGAGCTCCGCACCCCCGGAGCCGACACTTGCAGGCGGGAGAACCCAGGCCTGGGGGCGAGGCTGAGCGTCCGCGGCTGCCAGCTCAGTCCGTGGGTCCGAGCAAGTCCCTTCTCTCAGTTTCCCCGGATCTGGAGAGGGTGGCGGTGGTAACGGCGGCCCCAACCCCACAGGGCCATGGTGTGCTATAGCTCAGGAGTGCATGGGGTCTGCTCATCCCCCAAGACCCCCAGCCCCGGCAAGTCTCCCCAAGGGGGTCTCCTCCGGCAAAGATCCCGCACCCCACCCCTCCACCGGGGCAGGCGGGAGGCCGGCACCCTCCAGAGGCCTGCATGGGGCCCAAGGTCCCGGCCCTCCAAACGGGACCCTGAGCTGGCCCAGCGAGCACGGCAGCCCCTGAGACTGACCCCACACAGAAACCACAGAAACAGGCTGGGAGGGAGCCTGCCCCACGCACCCCATGGCCCGCTGCCGCCTGCCGGGCAGGCCCCTCTCCCTGGACCCAGTGCCCTGGCCACCCCGTCCTAGAGCCCGGGCGAGAGTCTCCCACTGGCTGGAAGAAAGGAAAAGAGATACGTTTGTCTTTATTTCACCTATTTATAAAAAGAAAAGTGCTTGCTAGAGAACATTTGGAAGTACAGAAAAGCACAAAAAAGAAAATAATTAGCCATGAGGTAATTACTGGGTACGTGTGGCTGGAAGTCCCTCTGGTGCCGTCTCGGAGTCCCATGCGTGGAGGTGCTGTGTGTGCGTGACCACCCTCTCGGTTGCTTCACCGTCTTTCCGGTGCCTTGTGAGCATTGCACGCCATTAAATAGTACCCCCTACAGGATTTGAAAAATAAAATGTACACACCAATTAAGTTTGCAGATCAACTTTATTGAGGAATAATTTCCTGGCGAGGTCCCTTTCCCTGGTGCTGTCGGGTGAGTTGTGACGAACGGACACACCCTGTAAGCACCGCCACAATCAAGAAAGGAAACACCCACCCCCCACAACGTCCCCCACGGCCCCTGCGGGCAGTCCCCCGCCCAGGCCCCAGGGCCCCGTGGTCCGAACCCCATCTCTGCCCTAGTCTTACCTGCACTACATGGGGTCTGAGAGTGAACACCCGCCCTGCAGAACTGACATTCATCCCGGGGCTGAGCTGATCGGTGCTGCCTGTGGTATTGATTTATAACATCCCACCTTGCATGCCTAGCTCTCTTTACCTGCTTCTCCGCTGGCAGACAGGTGGGTTGTTTCTGGTGGTTTGGCTATGGTGAATAGAGGTTTGTGAATGCTAATTTAAAAACAAAATTTAACCAGCATTGTCACTGGCCCAGGCTGAGGCCTGGCCACCCAATGGGCGTGGCCTGTGATTTCAGGCCTGGAGCCCCAAAAGCCACGGAGCAGCCCCTCCCATGGGTGGGTTACAGCGCCTGTCACTGGTATGGCACACACTGTCCCTTCCGAGGTTTTGCTGTTACACGTGACGCTGCCCGGACTGTCTTCGTGCCGACGTCCCTCTGAGAGGCCCACTCTTCTGCGTCTGCCCCTCCCGTGAAGGAGGGTGGGCACTGCGGCCCCCGCCGTCCGGATGGGAAGGCCGAGGGCTGAGGTGACTGGCCGGGGGCCGCACAGCGGTTGACGGGGGACAGGTGGGAGGAAACCAGCCTCCCAGGCCGGCACTGTCCCGGGACAGCCTCCTGCCTCACTCTCACACAGTTGCCCGTGTCCGAAACACTCGGAATTTTCCCACAAAGATTTCCATGAAAATCAAATCGTGGGCTGGCCACGGGAAGGCGGCCTCGTGTTAATTAGCCTGGCTGTGCTCTCGTTCGCCCGCCCAGCTGGGGCATGTGTGACTGTGTGTGTGTTTTTATTTGCACACGCACTGGAACTCATGCCCACCAACACCAGGGGAGGCCCGTCTAGACAACCAGGTCCACGCGCTCCCCCCAGACCTGCTCGGAGCAGAGCCAGGAGCCACAGAGGCCCCGGCTGGGCTTCCACACGTCCGCTCAGCAGACTTGCCCCAAGGACGTCTTGTTATCTCCCAAACCAACTCTCCCCTCCAGGACAAAGGTCAGGCTGCTGGGTGACACAGAAGAGTGATTCATTCCGAGATGGCTGCTCTGGGAGAAGAGCCCCAGCCGGTCTGGGGGGTGCTGAGCCCTAGCATGGTCCAGCACCCAGAAGAGGACGGGGGATGTAGACGTGCTCCTTGGAGTGGGGTGGGGGTGGCGGCTAGGTGTTTGTAGCAGTCTCCGAGGCCACTCCGGGGCTGTGACAATAGCTCAGCATTGAAGGAAAGAAGTCTGATTGCATTTTCTCACTCATTGGCTCCTCCGAGTCTGACAGGGCTACCCCTGGGTCTTAAGTAATCTTCAACAACCAAATATTGGTATCCCCATGTTACTGATGAGAACCCAAAGGCCCAGAGAGGTTAAGAACCTTCCTGAGGTCACACAGCCCTCTGCAGACATTAGAGAGGTCTGTGCCCCGTGTGTGGTTACCCCGTCCCAAGGAAGCTAGCTCAGGGGGAACACGAGATGATTCTCAAGTCCTGCCAGGGTCCTGAGGGGCTTCCTTCCTGGGACCACACCCCAGCCCCACCCCACGACTGAGCGGCCCCATTAAAAGTCCAGTGTGTTCCTTCCTTCATTTAAGAAAGCGGTGTTGTCCCCTGAGTTGGACCTAAGAAGAATCACCTCCCCTCAGCCCTGGGTCTCAGTACTCCCTGCTCTCAAAGCCAGGCGGCTTAAGGAGGCCTTTGTCCACGCAAGAAGAAACCAGGAAAGGAAGAGCCCATTCTTGCAGAAAACATGTGTTTTCTGTTTACAGAGGGGCCTATCCAGTTCCCATGCTTTGTTCTTTAATATGGAGCCAAGAAAAAAAAATAAAATGTGCAGCTTCCTCTCCGAGGTACGTCGGAGGCTGGAAAATCTGGACCGCTGTGGGCACACTGTGCTGGCCGGGAGCCGGCCTGGTCAAGGCCTCGCGCCCTGACTGCTGCCAGCATCCAGCATCACCTGACCTTCGCATACCAACCTGGGAAACCACGTGGAGAGCCAAAGTGCCTCCCCGGTGCCTCCCAGGGAGGTGGTGGGTGGAGAGGAGAGGGGCAGGGGGCCTCCAGGTAGCTGGGGTTTGGTTTCTTCAGCAGGATCTGTGCGTGTCTTTGTGTGTGATGCCCTGGGGTGGCTTGCACGCACTTCCCGGCCCTGCGCACCGGCTTGGCCCACGTGGCTGGGCATAGGAGCCATCCTGGGCTCACCCACTTCCCCTCTTGTCAGATGCTGCATGCAGGGTGTCTTTTCCCATCACTGGAGCAGAGGGACCCTGGGTAATGGAAAGGTGGGAGCTAATTGGGCACAGACTTCCAGGCTCCTGGGGGTAGGGCTCGGGGAGGCTGGGCACCCTGAGAGTGAGCAGAAGGGTTTAACTCTGGCAGGGGGGAGCATGAAGCAGCAGCGCTCTAAGGTGAGGAACAGAGCTGGCGGCCAGCTGGCTCACGGAAAGGAAATTGCCATCACGTCACCAGGTCAGCGCTAAGTGTAAAAGCGGGGGCGCAAAATCGGGGATCTGGGGCCAAGCGCAGGCTGTGCGCCCCTTCTCTTGAGTGGCCCTGGGCAAGCCGGCGCCAATCTCAGGCCCTGCGCCGCAAGAGGTGACTCAATGAAGCTGCTCTAGGGAGTGATGAGATGACACAGGGCATGCGTCCCAGGCCTGCCTGGCACTGGGTTTCAAGAAACGATTTCTGGGACTTCAAACTTCTTTGAGGCGGGACTCGAACTTGCAGCTTAGGCCCCAGTCACTGCCAAAGGCGGAAGGAGCCAGGACAGACCTGGCTCGCTGTAAAGAGAGGATGACAGCGGACACCGAGGC